GAAAACTTGTGCGGGGCGGGGGTTGGGTAGAATAGGGCACGGGAAGCAAAACCCGTCCCTGCCCCACTTCCTCAATGGGGCGGGAAAACTCGTGTGGGACGGGGCAAGGATGGGCGCGGGAAAATGACCATCCCTATGTCCAATCCTTAACCTCTTTTTTCATCACATTTAAATTTGATGAAAAAGCGCTGAAAAATTATCTCCAATCCAATCATCAAATGTTCATTAAATCAAGGGAAAACATTTGTTCATCAAAATTGCGAATTCATCAAATCCTTAATCAAATTAGAATTTGATGAAAATTTAAAAAGATGAAGCGTTGGAGATATATTTTTTCCCGTCATCAAATTTGATGAACAAAGAAATTTCAGATAAGAGTGGAATTTTTAAAAGATTTTGATAAAAATTTAATGAAAGAGTTGGAGTAGTTCATTTCAAATCAAGTTTTTTAGTCAAATTTGGAATCAAATTAGATGGAAATATTGATGAAGGATTAGAGATGCTCTTACTTTTTTTAAAACTGTCATCAAATTTGGGTAAGAATATGACTGTTGAAAATTTGATGAAGGTGAAGGATTTAGTTCATCCTTAATTTGGTAAAAAAAAAAAATGCCTCTCGCTTGATTTGATGAAATGGTTGGAGCACACATTTAGCCATTTTTTTCATCATTCATCATATTTGAATTCGATGAAAAAATTGATGAAGATTGGAGATGCTCTTACAAGTGGAACTTCATATCATGTTAAGAGCTTCAACATTTCCAAGGGTATTGTGGCTGTAATTCATCTTATGGTCTCTTTTTTGCATTCTATGGCAATTGCGCCTATGCAGCCAGTGGGATTTTGGGTAACAGGATTAAAGATGAATCTTTGAGCGTGATGAATGCATTGAATGCTGAAAGAGAGAGTGATGGATGATCCTCACTCTGTCAATAGTCCTCGAAGGGTCCTCAGTCTCTCAAGGAAAAGGAAGGAAACTCTGGTATTTCCAGAGCATGATGATCAAGCTTCTGGGTTTGGCGTGTCCGGTGAGCATGGTCCAAAACCTTCTGAAGTTTATGGTTTTGTTGGCTCCATTTCAACTGTTGTTGCGACAGGTATACTTCATCTGTCCCAGTTGATTTCCTATAAATTGAGTTCTGGTATCTTTTCCCGTCTCTCTTTACTTTGGGTGATGAATTACTGGTAAATTTACTAAGTACAACTAGTTGGATTTGGATTTATGGATTTGAAATGAAAGGATTTGGGTATTAATCATTCAAGGAACATAGTTTAGACGTAGATACAGATTTCAATATTGAATTTGGGAGTTTTATCATGATGGATTTGAAATAAAAATGTAAAAGTAAGGGTAAATTATACCATTAGTCTTTATAGTTCAAGTGAAGTGACAGTTTAGTCTCCATAGTTTCAATTTGAATAATTTGGTCTCCACAATTTCAATTTTGTTGCAAGGTGGTCCCTCTATCACTCAGCGTTAAAATTTGGAATGGAAAAGGATTATGTGTAAAACTAAAGGGACCAAAGTGAAATTCAAAACATACTATGGGGACCATCAGTGTAATATATTCATTACACGTAGTCTTTATAATTTGTTTTGAATTCTACTTTGGTCCCTCTAGTTTTGCACCTAATTTTTTTCCATTCAAAATGTTAACAACGCATGTCGGAGGGATCACATTGCAACAAAATTGAAAGTGTAGGGACCAAATTGTTCAAATTGAAACTACGAGGATTGGATTGAAATTTGATTCAAACTAGAGGAACCAATGGTATAATTTACCCTAAAAGTAATTATTTGAATTCATTCATAGTAAGGATTATATTTGTGCAACTATCATAATAAAATAATAAGGATTATACTTTTTACATCTGCATACTGAAATTTTAGGGGATACTTGGAACGCTTTTGGCGTGGCATAAAATTATTAAGCAACAATAATGCACAGCTTCTATATAGATGTTTTGATAAGATAGATCTGTGTCGTGCATCATAAAATAATTCATGAGGTAATGATGTTTGTGTGAGCTCAGTCGTTTTCCTCAGGCTTGGAAGTCGTTTTCAATTGTTTATGATGATCACTATAAAATGTTAAAAAAAATTAAGAAAACTGCATTTTTCAGCGTGTTTGATGCATTACTTTTTTTTGGAATGAGTTGATCCACTTGTCTCATATCAGGATTGAGGTTTTTCGAATTGGTTATGATCATTAGGGAAAATTCAAATAGATCTTGGGGGTTATGATGAATTTTTTTTACCTATAAGTGCTGAGTTTTACAAAAATACTACGGACACAAACCAACTACCGAACAAGCATAAAATTGCTTGCATCTATAGATGTGAAACCCCCCACTGTGTGGGTTCAATGGTTGGCATAAAATGGCATGTGTGTTCAGTGGTTGGTTGTGTGTCCATATCACTTTTGTAAGTTTTATGCTGTTGAAGACATTCATTTCTAGGCAATAGGCATGTACTCTTTTCCAAATGCTTATCTTTTTTATGAAGAGTATGTGTGTGTGTGTGTGTGTGTTTTTTTTTTTTTTGTTGTTGTTTGCAATGAATAGCTTCTCAGATTAAATGACAATTATTTAGTGCTTTCTGAGATCCGATATACATCCATTTTATTTATTTGTTTATTTTTTCTTATAAGCAGCTATTTTCTTGATATGGGCATATGCTCCTGACCGTTGGTTACATACCATTGGGATCTTTTATTATCCTAGCAGGTGAGAAAGATTCGCCCATTTCAAATTCTCTGCATTTCCTTGTCCAAACAAACAATACCCCTGAAACCATCAAATTTGGAGGGAAAGCAGTTCAGCTTTAAAATTGAAAATCCATGAAAAGTTCGTAGAATTCAGTCATTCTAATATATTTTTCTGGAAACTTAAAGTACTAAACAATAAATATTTTGATTAGAACTTTGAAAACTTCTTGGGTAAATTCAGTTAAGCAAACTATTTTTTTTTTTTTCAAAAAAGAATTAATTGTTGCCTAAAATTACACATTAGGTTAGTTCCAAATTAGTCTGAACTGCTTTCCTCATAAAATTAGTCTTACTTTTCTCATAAATTTCCCTGTTAATACTATGTTCACGGAGCTGATTTGTGTTAATAGGTCTCGATGACAATTAGGACTTGTTGTCTTTTTTTTTTTTGGAAAACTATGGAGACCATTCATATTCTTGCAGTGTCAACACTGTCTCTCCAGATATAGCTTGGGATTTGATATCTCGAACGATTTGATATAGCTTAGGATGGTTGAAAGAGAGGACATATAAAATAGCCAAAGTGATGCAGAGCAATAAAGTAATAGCTTATACCGACAAAAAGTACCCTAACTGAGGGAATTATCATTGAATTTGAAAATATTCAAAGCAGAAATGAATAAATCACAATGTAATTACATGATAAAAATGCTAAATCCCCTTGCATTGTGATTTGATGCTAAAGTGATGCC